CTAGACTCCCAAGAGCTTTTGTTGAGTGAGGCAAGCCTGGTTGCTGGTGACTTTTCACCCACTTAAAAAACAAAACAAAACATTAACAGGGCCTCCCGCACAGCCAGGCTCATTGGCCGACAGAGGGGAATTGTCTGGGCAGTTCCAGGCACAGAGCAAGGAGAGGGTCCACCCAGGTTGTCTTCTCTAAGCCACTGCCTCATCCTTTCCTCAGCTCCTGGCCTCACTCACCTCTAGCCCTCAGCCTATTTTTTCTCTTTCATTTTAAAGGCAAAAATTTCCACAGAAAAACAAAATGTTGATTTGCAAGTTTTACAGCTTGCAAATCCTTTGGTACCAGGGAGTGCAGGACTCTGTGAAGAGCTCAAGCTTGGGCTCAATGCCCAGTACTCAGCTTTGCAACCAGCCAAGAGCCTGGAGTCCCAGCCTCCGAAAGGGCCTTTTCTGGGTTTCCTGCCTGCTCAAATCTGCCTGGTACTTATAGCTGCCTTTTTTTTTTTAATTTTAGGAAGACAACAAGCCAGGTGACACATGGCAGCCTGGCTTACGCTTGTTTTAAAATGCATGGCATTTAATCCTGCCGGAACACACTCTTCTTGCTGCATTAGATCCAACTGGAAAATATAAAGACGAATTGCTGTAGGCTGGAAATTCAATTAGGAAAAAAGAGGTAAAACATCTGGTGTTACTCTTAGGATATGAAAATTCATTTTGCACATTTAAAATAAATGTGCTGAGTTCGTTTAATTGCCTGTTGAATGGTTTCGTGGAGAATAGTGGAAGTTTCATTGATCCTGGGCATTTCGTAGCAAGGGGCATTGGCTTGGGTTCTTGTTTAATCTTAATTTGAAATCAATCTGGACTGTATTTCTAGGGTCTTTTTCACATGTGTTTCAGTGTACTTAGAACAGTGGTTTTCAAACTTAAGCATGCATTAGAATCACATGGAGGGCTGGTTAAAACACAGATGGCTGGGCCTAGCTTCCAGAGTCTCTGATCAGTATGTCCGGGGTGGGGACCAAGTGATGCTGATGCTGCTGGTCTGGGTACCACACTTTGAGAACCACTGGCTTAGAATAAAGGAGAGTTCATGTCATTGCACAGAGGAGGGAGGTCTTTTCAGCAGG